CCATGTGGACTCCCACCTTCAGAACACAGTTTCACGTGAGCCAAACTTAGCCTGGCCTCCAGCCTCTCCCATAGCTTCTCATGGTGCTCTGCCTGGTCCTTGGGGCCACAGAACTCAGCCTGCCTCTAACTCATTCTATGAACACAGATTCTCAGTCTTTTTTTAGCCTCAGGTTCCTCAGCTGTGAAATAGGGGGACTGACCCAGCCTTAGCCTTAGAGTTCATGTGGAATTTACGTGAGAATGTGTGAAAGGTTGGTACATGGCAAATGCCAGTTTTCTGCACTTCTGCCCCTGTCCTCCCTCAGCCTGTGGCCCATGGCACCCCTGATGGGGGTAGAGCTCTGCATGACTGTCTTCAATGCCCTCAGAGAGCAACTCCTTATAACAAAGGTAAAATCAGAGTTTTTGATTCTGATGACTTTGAGACCTATGTTTTGAAGTGTGTGTTGTCCCTCAGGAATAATGGCATCCTTGGAAATGACTCCTGTCTGAACCGCTCATTGTTAAGCACCTGAGGGGTGTCTATATGACTGGGCATCTAATTAATAGAATAGCTGACATTGCAAGAGAAATGGCAACTTCTCCCTGTTATAAATGTAGATTTCCCATGTGAAGAGGCATGGTTGAGTATGAGAGCTAAATCTGTTTCTTCGCAAACCAGCCTCAGAGCCACACCATCTCAGCAGACTCAATGCAGGATGTACCCTGGGAAGCCAGGAGGGAGGAGCACCCCTGCTCTGCAGCAGCATGGCCCCACTCAGTCCAAGTCAGACAGGTCAAGCAGTGGAGGTTTAGCCAAGTTCACCTCTTGGTTGCCCATTTCCTGCTTTTATTGTTTCATTAGCAACCCTGTCTGTGTTTATGTAAAATAAAAATGGAATTTTGAAAGAAGGCTTTTTTGACTTAATGGTCTTAATCAGGATGACTTAGGGCTGACAATCTAAAGAATCATCTTTTTTTCTTTTGCTGGGGAAGGATGGAAACTCCTTTTATGCAGAGAAGTGAATGTAAAGTTTTGTCCCATTGAATGGCATGGGAACCCTAAAATATTGGGTAAAAGACAATCAACTCCTTCTGAAAACACAACTTCAGTGATTTGATGGCCACTCTCCCAGGATCTCAACTTGACTGTCCAACAGCTCAGATGTTTCCTGGGTATTTATCACAATAGCTAGCACTTGCTTTATTTCTTAAATCTGGATTGTGAATTCCCTGCTGTAGAATTTAGATGCTAGTGGACACTGAGCCAAGTATGGGTAGTGGTGAGACCTGGTCCTCAGGCTGCTGAGCCAACATGGCCTCATACAGTACTCTCATCAGCAAAAGCCTGTCCTCTCTCTAGCAGCGACAGCTCCTTATTCCATAGCTTCACACTCCACTAGCAGGTGGACAGTGCAGTTGGCCCATTGCAGTCATCCAGGTCCCAGAGGCTGCTGAAGAGGCAAAGAAAGAGTCACCAAGTCACGGACCCTTTCCTTGGGCACCCACATTGCCTTGGTCAGAAGGAGGCTTGACATCTGGGGCTGGTGTGGTATCTCTGCTTAAAGAAGCTTTTTCAACTCCACATTTCTCCCTACTCTTTCACTCACGTCTCATCCCTTTAGGTGTCTAAGTCGCTCCCTTCCCTTCCCTTCCCTTCCCCCTAGCTTGCCACCTTCACTGCTTTCTTCTCTCTGTGTTCCTCTAGTCCAGTTCAGCTTCCTTCTGGACAGTTGCTTGTTTTCTCTACCCTTCTTGTCCTTTCTTTCATCCTCTGCTTCTCCTTTTTATTTCTCCTCCTTCTGTTTTGGAGATGGTAGTCCTACAGCCCCATGCTGTCTGCATTTTCTTTTCTCCTTCCATAGCACTCCCCCCTGGCTGCCATCTCCAGACTGCCAACTTCCCACACTGATCTAAAGAAGAAGAGCCCAAAGCTGTGCATGCTGTGCTTATTTTTATATTCGGGGTCAGCTGGCAGACCTTGGGGTGGTATGAAAGTTTCTAGCACACGCGTGCGCGCGCGCGCGCACACACATACACACACACATTTTTATTGAGCAATCTTAATCTTAGTCTCAAAACCAAGGCCCCTATTTTATTTTTCCTTCAACAAATATTTATTGAGGACCTAATACATGCCAGACACTATTCTAGATACTGAGGATAGAGCAGTGAACAAAACAAATAAAAATCTCTACCCTTGTGGATCATACAATGTAGTTGGGGGTGAAGGGTAGGCAGAGAGATAAGAGATGAGAGGTCCAGACAGGGGGGAAAGGGAGGGCCAAGTCTTGAGTATATTATGTTTAGTATATTCAGGGAACACCTTGGACTAAGGCTTCCCTGAGCCAAGGTTTGCTGAGTACCCTCAGCTAGAGACATGTACTTGTTGCCCTTTTTTGGGGCTGGACTTGTTTTTCTCTGCACTGTCACTCAGCCCTTCTCAGGAGGTAGATGTGGCCACAGAGTAGAAAGTGGTCACCTCTTGCCTGAACCCTCACTAGGGACCAATGATTGGTCACAAGAGGACACAGCTGCTTAAAATTTCTCAGATCCCACAGGAATGTGGTGAGCAGTAAGAGAGGAAGTGCAAGGAATTTAAACTCTTCAACACAGCTCCCATCTTGAGGAGCTGAAAGAAGTCTTCAAGAATGCAGAGCTCTGGTGCAGAGGAAAGCTGAGCTGTACTGTGCTCTGTAATCTGAGGGAAGTACTCAGCAGCTGAGGGCCAGGAGGTAGGATGTGCAGAAGGCCCAGGGAGGCCCCCCTGGATGCTTTCTCCTGGGCCAGGAGGTGGAGGAGGGACCTGTGGAGCAGGCCACCAGGGGTCCTGTGTCCCTCTGTTCATCATTCTGGCCAGACTCTGAATAGGACCAGGAGTGAGCGCAATAGAACTGTGGACCTGAGCCTTGTTTAGAAGCCAGAGGATGAGGGCCCTGAGGGAACAACAGCAGCACATGATTGCCCACCCTGACCAAACAGATGTGATTGTTTTGGGGAGGTCTGTGTTGTGCGTATGCATACCCCAAGGAGACACTGTCCCCTGCTTTGCATTCTGCTGCTGCCACTGTATTCACTAGCCACAGAATCAGAAAGATTGTTCTCATACCATGACGACATAGAATGAGGCAAACTAAACCAGGGCTCATGCTTCAATTATATTTCCTTGAGAGCAGGCACAAAAAGTCTTGTGTCATTCTTACCAGTTTACAAGCCTCTCACAGATCCTCTCTCTTTTCCTCTTCTTTTCATCCTCTTTTTGTCTGAGCCTGAGCTGTGGGGATGTCTTGCCTCCTACCATGGGAGGCAGCCCTGAATCATAAAAGAACACCTGTACCTGCATCAGTGGAGTAAATGCAGCTTCCAGGTGACTTTTTTGTTTGTAATAATTCCCCTATCACCATCTGAGAGCTACCTGAGAGTCATCCAATATGAAAACAGAAAGGTTACATCCTGCGTCCTCTGTCACTTGAGCGTTGATGCAAAATGAAAGTCACTCTTCATGCCAAGACAAGCCAGGGGTCCTGTGATGGCTTGCTTTATCCTCCTTGAGCCCAGAGTCCTTCCTAATTGTCAGTGTTTGTCTTTTCAAACAGGAAGAAATCAAGATGTAAACCTTCCTGTCATTCTGTAGATGCCCTTAAGGGAAGGGGGTTTGAGGGGGCGGGAAACCTGTAAACAAAGAGAATAAACAACATCTTCATTGAATCAAAGAGAGGTAGGCGTGTAAGATTAGGATGTTGGAAAGGTACAGCAGATATTTTGTCTTATTTTACTTTAAGGTCAAAAAATTTTGACTCTTTATAGAGTTTTCATTCTGTTCTAGCAAGTTCTTCACAAGGCCTCTTAAACCCAGGATGCCTCCTTCTCATTTGAACCCTACAGTCATGTCACATTTTTTAATTCAGCTACTAAGAAGGCCCCTCTGGGGAAGGGAGAGTACCCTGGGGGGTTTGTGAGCTTCCTCGGTCTTCAGAGACCTGCTGCCTCCTTAAGCCCTGCGGGCTCATGGGCCCTACAAGGGGTCAACTAAAATCTTTGGTCTCTTATTGAACTGAAGCCCCTACCAACTTTCATGTCTGAATCCTGTGAGCAAAGACAGTTCCTGACACAGTTCTCACTATAAGCTCAAGACTAACCATATTACCCAGTCCCCGCAAATACCCTGTGAGGCTAGAGATTGAGAGGTATTTTACAAGAGGGATTTGCCTTGGTTCATGGGTGACTTAGAGGCCCAACTTCTAGGCCCCAAGCCAGGATTTTCACTACTAAGTTTTTTCTTTCCTTGTATTCAAATAAGCTTTAAAAAGTACAATTTAAATATTTAGTCATGGAACAGATATTGCAAGGAAGAATGCAATGAAAAATTTCTAATCAGACTATCTTTTCTTTAAAAAGAGCCTCTCAGGCCTCTTCCCACCCAGATTGATTGGAGAAGCTAGGACCAGGTTAGACTGAATCAGGAAAACCCATTCCAACTTGCTTAACTTGCTCTCCCTAAAAATCTTTAGGTTTTCCCTAAAGTTTTCTCTTTCCCAGAGCATCAGGCTATAGACAGTGAAGAGAATAGTAGATAAACAAAAAACAGTGGGTCCCAAAAACCTGGCCCCCCAGATCTGTTGTACTTCTGACACCCCTGCCCCAGGCCCTTAGATAGGTCATCCAGCCTCCTGAGCTGTAATATGGGAAAGGTGGTGCTGGCGCGCACCTGCCTGGGTGGTGCAGGGCTGTGGAGTGGCTGTGGGCTCTCAGGTCCCCGAGGTGGAACCCCACCCCTTCCCTGCTTGCATCTCCCTGACCTGGCTGTGCTGGGAATTCCCCCTTCCTCACCACTTCATTAGTTTATTTCAAAGAGCAGGTCACATGCTATATGTGCAAGGCCCCCAGAGGTACCAGCTACTCTTTCTAGCTTGGGTTCACCCAAAGAAGAGACCCTAAGTGCCCCTGGTGACACCCAATGGCCCGATGCCCACCCTGCCTGCCACTCTTTATCTCTGTCCCTGTTTCTTCTGCCTGCAGGTACCTGGCACTCTATGCCTACAAGCCCCAGAAGAATGATGAGCTGGAGCTGCACAAGGGTGAGCTGTATCACGTCCTTGAGAAGTGTCAGGATGGCTGGTTCAAGGGCACATCCCTGAGGTCTGGGCTGTCTGGGGTGTTTCCGGGGAACTACGTGACACCTGCTTCCAGGTGAGGTCGTAGTTAGTCGCTGCCTTCATACTCCCCTGCAGCTGTTGTCACTACCTGGATGTCATGCTGTGTCTGGGCCATCCATACACACAGTTCAGAAGGCAACCAGGACATGCTCTGCCTATGGGGTTCTACACTGTGAGCTGAGAGTCCCCCTGAACAGGAGTTGTATATGGCAAGCATTTCACCTTCTGAATTTGGTTCGCTTGTCTTTCCCTGAGCAGACACTGGCTGCTAGGGGAGAGGATGGAAACAAAATGAGCTGGAATCAGGGCAGCAACACTGAGGACAGAAAGTCACCAAGGAGAGTGAGATCAAGGCTGTGTATGCAGATGTATATGTGGGTACAGATGTTTGTGTGCTTGTGCACTGCATGAGCACAGTGGTGTGTGTGTGATCACACCGATCTGTCATGCATAAAACACGCACATACGCCTATATGCAAAGGAAAAATTATATACTCTCAAAAGGTAACAATTGTTGCTAAGTGGTAGCATTATAAATTAAAATTTTTTCTTGTGCTTCCTTGTGTTTTACAAATTTTGTTATATTATTTTTATAAAAACAGAGCAATTTTAAAAATTCACTAAAAATGTTATCCAGAGCTGTCTGAGAATTTTTCAATGAGACGAGGGGCCCGCTGCTTGATTTCGTTTCAGTCAGTCTCACTCATGGAAGCCCTTCATGGGTATAGTGCTGTGTCAACACTCTAGGACACACAGACTGAAGCCATGGCCCTTAGGTTGATTCTCTCTTTGAAACAAGATTTCTGTGAAAGAAATTTAATGACACTTAGACCTTGCATTGATGGCTAGACTGCTCCATCCTTCTCAAAGTACCCGAGGGACAGTGCTGGCCTGGAGGCGGGCTCATGCCTCACCTTACCCAACTACCTTTTCTGGGAATGCCCTTCATTTCTGAGCCCACTTTATTTACTTTTAAAAATGTCCTAGGGTAAAAATGAGTTCAGCAAGTAACAGATGTGCTAAAAAAAAGTCATGGTTTTGGCTGACCAGCTGACTGAGTTCTGTGGTGGAAGTGAATTTCAGGGCAGCGCTACGGGCTAATGCAGGAAGGTGTTAGCTTGGGTTGAACCCTTTTCTAGGAGGCTCTTTCTCAAAGCTGTTCTGCAGGACCCTGACTGGACACTGCAAGGGCTCTTTCCCATCTGAAGTCAGACCCACTGGCACCAACCTACGTGAAAAGACCCTCTGACTTTGCCCAGGAGCCACGGGCCTGGCAGTATCTGCTGTCTCTCATGTGTGGCTTCTGGCGTCTCATGACTGAGATCCCAAGAGGATAAAGGGGAGTTTACTGAGATCTGCTACAAATGGAAGACAGCTGAAGCTAACTCCCCTGGAGCTAAATCCCTAAAGCTTTCAAGAACTGATCTGCTGTGTTCTGCACCCCTATGGCCAGAACATGGATTGAGTGCAAATATGTGTAGTGCACAGGGTTAAAGTCCATTTTCCCTTTAAAAGTTTCTGTTTCTTAGACAGTCTAAACTGATTTCATTTAGAAACCCTGGGGTGAAAGGGCATGAGGGTCTGGCAAAAGTAATGCCTGCTTGATGTGGTTGGTTGGGTAATAACATGGGTGTAATAATTTATAGTTTTAATTTGAACATTTCACTTAAAATGCCACATGGTGTGCCTGAGTGTGTTACTGTTATGTTACAGAATCACATGCTTATGATTTTATAATTTAAAAAGGGGGCATTATTTATGCCAGACCCTGTACTTTTCTGGTATGAAACTGTAAGTTCCCTGACATCCCTCATTAGGACGTAGTTTGTCTGTGCCCCTTCCCAGAGGCTGGCAGAAGCAAGAAGGTGGCTGTGTCCAGAGGGAATAGGTATTTGCCACTACTTCCCACCATGTGCTAGATGTGCTGAAGCCTCGTGGGATGTAAATGAGTCATCTGTTCTTTCTGGATGTGTTTGGTGACACACAGCTGTTTGTTAGAATAAGTCAAAACAGTATCCCTAGTACAAAATATTATATTGATTGGAATCATTCTTCCGTTCTTAGGGTTTTTTTGTTTTTTGGGGGGGAGGGGTTGTTTCTGTTTTTTGTTTTGTTTGTTTGTTTATTTTTTGCTATTTCTTGAATATTCACATTGAGAGTTAGCCCCATGAAAGTTTTACAAATGGTGCCCTTTTCAGCCCTAGCTTTGGGCATTGTTTGCCTACAAGAGTTGTTTTGGCACTGTGTTAGGGTTTGTCTCTGGCACTGATGGCCTTCAATTCAGAGTTAGTCTGTAAGAGCAGGCCTTTATTAGTGGCCTGCGTAGTATGGTTTCATCTGCACTGTCCCCTGAATTCATTCTGTTTTATTTCCTCAGGGCTCCCTTAGGAGGGGCTGGGCCACCCTGGGATAATGCAGTTGGAGGGTCTCCACTGGTCAAAGGGATTGCCGCGGCCACCCACCCAGGTGGCGGAAGCCTGAGCAGCCCTGCCAGTGCCCTGAGACTAGCCTTTCCTCTCAGCACAACCCAGGCCCAGCACCAAGCAGCGTCTCCCTCAGTGGGCAGTTGTCTCTGGCACTCAGCCCAGCCAGTGGAGAGCCAAACTCAGAACACTGTCCCTGCAGGTATGTACCAGTCTTTCTGGGGCATCACTCTCTGGAAAATTTGACAAGGAGGTAGGATCTTGGGTACATAAGTCATAGAAACATTTTGGCCCAGGTCTCAAGCAGTTCATGACAGGAATGAGGTCAGGGTGGGAGGGGTGGCAAGTTGTGTTTGCTTATCATAATCGTCAACCTTTGATGATCCCCAGGAAATTTATTGGCTTATCTTATCCTGGCTGCTGAAATGGATTTGAGAATTTATGAATATTTATACATTTCATTGTAGCAAGAGGGCTGCATAGACTAATAAGATTAATAGTGGTGCTTTTGGACTCTTCCTTTGAGGCTATAAGGAGGCTGTGTGTTAGCCTCATACACTCTCCATGGCCCAGGCACTTAAGGGTTTCTAATTAGGCAGCACATCCTAAGTCAGGGCTGGTAATGAGACACAGATCCAATATATTTTCTGTCTGAGATGCTCTGAAACTGGAAGGAGTGATGGTTATTGATTGATCTTTCACCTTCATGCCACATTATCAATAGACAGGCTAACACAATTTAAATAAAAACTGTTTTGTTTCCAGTATGGTATGAAGTGAAAAAAAATTATAGGGTGGATCATATAGGCACAAAGAAGGTAAACACACCTTGTTTGGAAGCTTAGCATTGAGGCAATAAGAACTGCTGGAGCTTCACTAATGTGACACTCCTAGGAGCCTACACCAGTGACCATCTGAAACCACAGAGCCAACAGCATTGTCAGCATGCAGTGAAAGGAACCCAGAAGAGGAGGACATAGCTTATGATTATCTTGTATATCACAGAATTCCTTTTTGCACACTAACCTTATCCTCTCAGAAATCATCTCTCATCTTCTCAAAGTAAGGCTTAAAGGACAAAAAAAAAAAAAAAAAAGTGAACTCTCTGGAGAATTAAAATACACAGCTTTTTAGAATCTAGTTAACCAGAGACAACTGATCCATTAGAAGTACTCCAGAAAGCAGCCTCTCTAGGGTGAAAAGTCAAGATAGTACCTAGTGCAACAGGGACCATGTTTTCTTTTGAGGCACAAATGAGGTGGATGTCCACTCAGCACTCCTGCCCATTACTCTTTGGGGAAGGTGGCGTGTACGTTTCCCTGCTGATGCCAATCTGGGCTTACAGGTGGAAGCAGGAACTGCTGAGTCTTTGCAGGAACCCCAGAATGTGACATGAATCAGCCTGAGTCAGCATCCCCCTTCTCAGCTCTCCCAGGCTGGCTGCCAATGAGCAGTACTGGCTGGGAGGACTGTGGGTGCTATGGAAGAGGGTCTGTGGGACATTTGATGATGTGGCAGGGATAGTGGGAAAGGCCTCTCAGAAGAGGTCCATCTCAGAATGAACAGCAAAGTAACACTCAGGTGGGGAAATAAAAAAGGGTGCCATTTGAAGCAGGAGGAAAGAAATCGTCAAACGAATAGAAGTGGGAGAAAGCAGTCTTATTCAGACAGCAGCAAGCAATTCAGTAAAGACAGAGCAGACAGAGGCCTAGTTGAAGGCAGGAGCTTGGGAGGCAGGCAGACCTATTTTGAATGCTAAGGCTGCCGTTTTTGCTGTGGCCCCAGTGTCTTTCTCTGAAAGATGACACGTGCCTCTGCTGACACTCTGTGAGGGCTATCTACATGGCACATAAGTATGTGTTCACTACACTGTAGCTATTTTATTTTTCCATTTCAGAATACGAATATCACTAGAGTATTCAGTGCCTGAGAACAAGAAAAGTAAGCATAAAAGTTATCACAGAATCTGGGGGTTGACTTCTCTGTTGAAGGTAGTGGGGACCATCGCAGGATTTGAATTTGAAGCAAGAGGGTTTGCCCTTAACCAAATGTTACCAGACACAGCAGAGAGGAAGAGGTGGTGCAGGCATCCCAAGCCTGGGAGCCAGGAGAAAGGTACTACTATTCCTAGGTAGAAGTGACAATGAGTCTGGGCCCAGTAGGTGGGGTAGCAGAATTGGGACAAATAGTGAGATACTTAGGAGACAGAATGGTTATGAGTCAGAGAAGGTCTGGATGGAAGTTATCAGGGGCAGTGAGGACCCAAGCCCAGTTTCCAGATTTCTGGAACCAATTGACTGGGAGAATGACAGTGGCATCCCAGACCTAGGAGAGACTAGAAGGGGACTTGTTTATGAAGGAAGATAATGACATGTGGCTTTGAGAGGTGCAGTGTGTGCTGGTCACACTGTGGCCCACTGGTTGGTTTGGAGCAGCCTACTAAGGAGGGTTCATAGCCCGTGTGTAAATTCTCAGTCCGCCTTTCAAGACACAGACAAATGACGTGGACTCTGCAAGTGTCCTCCGTTCAGACAACAAAAACATGAGGCCACATGGATCCTTTGGGGGATGAAGGTGGTGGTGAAAACGTACAGGAGCTTTTCAAGAGCAGCAAGGTAGACTTGTGGTGGGCAGTGCCCAGTCATCAGCGGGTGTGGGGTGGACTCCACTTCATGCTGGGTGGTGTCCGTATCCAGCAGTCATGGAATCTGGCCCATGAGTCAGAAGCCTAGAGATGGGTTTGGCACTTCCCTGGCTGTAGAGCTTCCAAGACTAATTCTGCCATCCCAGAGACCTAGTAGTCTTTCACATGTATCTTTTTTCTTAAGTTAGCCAATAGTGAGTTCTGCATTCCTGCAGCTTTAGCTATAGGATCCTGGGGAAGGGTTAGCCGTCTGTGTACTCAAAGACTCTGCAAGTTTTAGCAGCTGGTGCCAGACCTCTTGCCTCCAACTTCTACCTTCTTATCAGCTATGCTTCTAGCTGGTTTAAGTTCACCTAAAGCCATTTACTGGGAGCCTTCTGCAGAGGATACAGCCCTTGTAGTAGCTAAGTGATGAACCCACAGCAGAGCTTCCTGACTGGTGCTTTATGCCAAAATACTGATCTCTGGCCCTCAAAGTATCAGGGAAGGACCTAAGGCACATAAAGTCTCAAACCGGCCCCTGATGCTTATAAACATACTGCCCACTCATTTGCATGACGTACACATGTTTATATGTGCACTACAACAGCCCTACTTCTCACTGAGAGTGAACATCCCAGTATGGAAGCCCTGGGTTTTCAGCACAAAGTGCCAGCATCATGGCCTTTCCATGCCACGGCCTGCTGGTTACTTTGCCAATTCAAAGAAGAAAATGAGACCTGCCAATCATCTCTCCCTTGGTGGAATAACAAGCAGAATCAAAAGAAATTGACATGGCTAGGGACAGTACAACATTGTGTCTCACTCATCAATCTCCATAGTTAACCACCATGGTAGGACAAGCATTTTCTTCCATCAGTTTAATTTTACACATGGGAAAAGTAATGCACAGGGTGGGTAAAATGGCTCTCCCAGTGCATTCTAACTTAATAGTTGTCCCCACATTATGTCGGTCCTACCATGTCATATCAGTACGGTAAATGCCACTGAGTTCCCACAGCACTTCCCACTTTTCCACTGCATTTTGTGCAGGGTGAGAAAAAAAAATGTTGACAGTGCAAGTAATGGATTGTCCATGGGTATAATTACCCATTTCAGCAGACCCTGACCCAGGTGGTTGAGAGGCATTTCATCAATGTTCTCATCTCAAGCCAAAGCCAGAGATTTTGACAAAAGCATTGGCTATAGCATCCAGTATGACTTGTTCTATTTAATTAATGTAACTCTTTTTTAAGGGCAGCTCTCCCTGTAAAGTACAGTGCCCACACAGCCTCATATCAGTACTTAGCAGGAGCAAGAGCTGACTACAGCCATATATTCATCAGCAAAAAAGAACTGAAAGAGAACCCTGTAAACACAAGGCACTCTTTTAGGGTCTGGAGATGCAGAGAAGAGTCAGTTAGACCCCTGTTTCTACCCCCAATTAAATGGAAGGACAAGGAAATGATCCCTTTCAGTAGATTCTGAAAAACACTGTGACAGAGGGATACATAGGGTATTAACAAAGCATGGAGGAGAGAGAGTGAACACAGGGAGGAGCACAGGAGAGGTTTGTGGGAAATCTTCAAGAGGAGATGATACTGTCTTTTTTTATTAAATATTTTATTGTTGTTCTATACACTTGTCCCAATTTCCCCCCCTTTGCTCTCCTCTGACCAGCCCATGCCCAGCTACCACAGTCAGTCCCCATCCTGTTGTCTGTGTCCATGGATCATTCATACATGTACCTTGACTAGTCCATTCCCCTTGTTTCCACCCTTATCTCCCTCCTCCAACCCCTCTGGCCCCTGTCAGTTTGTTCCATGTTTCCATGCCGCTGGTTCTATTTTGCTCTTTGTTTGTTTTCTTCATTTAAGTGACATCATACAGTATTTGTCTTTCATTGACTGGCCTATTTCACTTAGCATGATGCTCTGCAGTTCCATCCATGCTGTCGCAAAAAGTGGGAATTCTTTCTTTCTTTCCGCTATGTAGTGTTCCATTGTGTAAATGTACCATAGTTTTTTTATCCACTCATCTACTGATGAGCACTTAGGCTGTTTCCAGCACTTGGCTATTATAGATAGTGCTGCTATGGACACAGGGGTGCATAGGTTCTTTTGAATTGGCGTTTCAGGGTCCTCAGTGTATGATACCAGCAGTGGAATCGCAGGTCAAAAGGCAGATCCACTTTTAGTTTTCTGAGGAAATTTCACACTGTTTTTCCCAGTGGCTGCAACCATCTGCATTCCCACCAACAGTGCCCTTTTTTCTACATCCTCACCAGCATTTGTTCTCTCCTGATTTATTGATGTTGGCCATTCTGACAGGTGTGAGATGATATCTCATTGTGGTTTTAATTTGCATCTCTCTGATGGCTGGTGATGTTGAGCATCGTTTCATATGTCTATGGGCCCTTTGTATGTCTTCTCTTGAGAAGTGTCTGTTCAGGTTTTTTGCCCATCTTTTAAATTGGATTGTTTGCCTTCCTGGTGATGAGTCATATGAGTTCTTTGTATATTTTGGAGATTAAACTCTTGTCCGATGTATCATTGGCAAATATGTTCTCCTATATGGTT